GATGTTATCATTCCATAACCAGCCCTTTGCCTTAAGGTAGCCTTTAGCTCCTCCATGGTGGGCGGTTGCGTCTTGCAGTTCAGTTGCCTCATAGTTACCGACAACGTGCCAAGGTATTCACTTAACAAAATATCTTTCTTGTTTTCAATGACATCCAGGGAAGGGCCTGTATCGAGAAAATATAGAAGATCGATTGCCGGTGATGTGTAAACGCTTAGTTGAAAGTCCACCTGTAATACCAAATAAATTTTTTCGATCAATATGTACGTCTCGTGAGTCTCCGGCAAATGGAAATGCAGGAGCACTCGAGCTTCTTTCTCCATAAGCATAGAGAAAAAAGCTCGAGTGAGACTCGTATTTAAAATTAAAATTGTGAGTTTGCTCGCGGATGACACGGCGAACAGTTGGCGGATCAAATTGGGTTTATTGCATTATTCAAATATCGTGCATTTTCAAGTATCTCATCGTCTTTTTCTCTTATTGTTAATCTTTTCTCTAAAGTTTGTGAAGAAACGGTTCTCGAATCCTGACTCAAGTGATAATTCTAGCAGTATAAATTCTTAATACTCTTTTGTGATGCACATTAGCACACATCAATACCATTAAATTGTCAATTTAATTCATATTACAATTTCAGTTTCAGTTTAGAAACTGCGTTTCAAGCTTGACATATAATTGACGCGCAATTTGCATGAACATAATAATGTATGTAATAAATCACGTAAAAATATGTATAATTATTGAGCATTATTGTTTTGACCACATATTAGTTAGAATAATTGTATATTTTATAAGTAAATATTTCTTGTTTCAACAATAGAAATAACAATATAAAAACAATATAGATTGTATCACATATATATGCAAGTATAAATTAGATTTCACAAATTATTTTATATAACCTTAATCTTTATTAGTTGCGATGTAAAGCCGCAATATTATAACAAATCAATGAGTACTCGAGTATTATAGGAAGCTTTATGATTTTTTCTAATACGATGATACGTGATTTTATAATGTACTTACAAAAATGTGATCAGTAGGATTGCCATCATTGTCATATTTAAACAACATATTGTTCAAGTGACAATCGCCGTGATTAATAACATTAAATTCATCCTCAGAGAGCTTGGTTGCATCTGCTCCTATTTGATATATGTGATCGGTGAGTTTAGCAATTTTTTCCGAGTATCTAGCAATAAAAAACATAAAATTATATAAAAGTCATGTAAATATAATATTTGCTCTAAACAACGCAATTTGTACTTATATTTGTCATTTTGTGCTTTACATGTTCAGTATTTTCAAAATATTTAAATGCATAGTTTATGTTATATAAAATGTTATTTTGGACACTAAGAAGTAGAACAATACTGCCGTTTAGATATGTAAATTTACTTTTTTACTTCTGGCCAGTTAGCAATCTCGTCTGCTAAACTTTTAGTGCTCATAATGAGAAAATCTAACAATTCCGGTTGTGGGGTGTTAAATACTCCTTTAGAATACATCTCTTTTTGCTTTGATTCCTAAAATATTAAAATACATTTGTTAAAAAGCTGTTATGGTTATTCATTTGATTAAATTATAAATTTGAAAAAGTAATATATTGTTTTGTACTGCGGATTAACAATTTAGAATGTCATTTAAATAAGGCTGTACATAAATGACAAAAACTCTACGATAAGAATTTTGATAATATACAATTTCTTAACGATTTTAGAAATTTTTTTAAAGAAATTTACGAGACAGACTTATTATAATTTTTAATATAAAATGTTTCAGTATTTCGATATTTTAAATTAGGATTTTACAAATGTAAAAAAACGTATTGCTGACAATTATTTAGGTATATAGATATCCCTTTAAAGCAAAGTTTCATAAATATTTAATGTATGCGCGTAAATCTTATGTAAATCTTTCGAATATGTTCGAATATTACTTGTCACGTTTTTAAGATATTTATAATAATATTAATAAATACTTTAAATAATAATATATTACAAAAACAATCTCATTGCAATGCGTTATTTATGAAATGCAATCAAAGATATTTTACATATTTCTCTTATGTGTTTAATATCAAGGGCTTATTAACGCTATTTAGCACTTGCACGGCTTTTAAATTTATATCATGTACCTCTGAATAATTGTATGGAAGCAATATATGCGACTGACAATGAATCGCACGTTATTGACGTGATAATTTACCTTCTCGCATATGGCTACGGAGGCTGCATGAAACCTGGCTATTCCATGAACCGCTAATACAGAATGACGTAGGTCAAGACCAGCCACACAATCGGTTGTGCGAAAGCCGAGAGGCGCGAGATCCTCCATTACCAGAAGCATAGGATTTTCATTTTGCACGTATAAACTCTTCCCACTTAAACGGTGCTTTGGCTTTAACAACTTATTCATTTTATCCAAGGTATCTGACATCATCGATATCTCAGTGTGAAACATACCTAATTGTGTAACCTGTACAAATTTATTTAATTGTGATATAAATGTCTAAATAAAAATTTGTGTGACATAACGATTTGGTTTACCGGATGGCAAATATATATATATATATATATATATATATACATACCTCATCTCGCCTGACAATTATATCCGAGATGGCATTTTTACGGAATTGGTAAGAAGTGCCGTTTCGCGTTTGTGCGTCCCTGCAACGTTTGCGGCTTCTTTGCGCTCTCGCTGTATTACGTTATTACCTAACGATCGTAATGGTTGCGACGATTTTCGGGGTAGTTCCGTGCCACGAAAACACCAGAGGCGGTTTACGATCCTCGGGTACTCGGAGTACCAAGAATCGACTCGTTCTCGTGAGCGCGGGCAATATCGGTCTTTCGCAGACGGTGAAACGCTTATTCTCCGTCTGCAATCAGCCGCCGATCGAACGCGTTGGCTTACAAGTCAATTAGGCCGTATTCTTGCCGGGGACCGAGAATTACTTTGAATATTGCCTCGCAATTAACCGCGGTCGACCATTGAGGAGTAATAGCGCGGGCACGCCGGCAGTTACGACTTCCACCGGCATGAGCGGATATTGCGGTGCCTTCATTCATTGCATTCCGTCGTCAAGATATACGCAACACGGGGCCGCGCTTAACGCGCATTACATTCGGCATTGTATTGGTGTTTCATGTAAGCCGCGGCATATCGAATCGCCACTGCGGCAATTCGTTCCGATCGCAAAGATCGCATCGATGCACGTTCGG